TGGGTGAACGCCCCAGTAACTGTGTGAACCCCCTAGCAACTCCCACCTGGCACCAGAACCGTTACAAGCCTGAGACCCACTGAAGACCCACTGGTGACACCCGAAGAAAGCAGGAGAACGCCCAGAAATCGGCTATAAAAGAAGCAAGGTTAGAGGCATCAACCAGAGACACCCAAAGGCTCCTCCACCGACAGTCGCTTTCCGCTCCCTTCCTCCTTCCTGCCTGAAGCTCGGCCGAAGCTCCACGGAGCCCACCGTGAGCCGTGAACTGTGAGAGGCCTCGACCGACGCTGACCTGCAGCTGCAACCGTGTCCTGTGTGTGTCTGTCAGTGCGGATCTCCGGTGCAGGCTTGCCGAGTTCTGGAACCCACCAGGCCTTAGGTAAATAAACCGTGTGTGATTCGTGCATTTAACTTTTGTTTCCTGTATTTAATTTATGCTCGGTCATTTTATTAAGAAGTACCTTGGAAACTCTGTATAAGTCCACTACGTAGCTGAGGAGCCCTTGGTCACCTGTGCAAACGTCCCTTGTGGAATAATTGGGACACAGACACACACTAAAAGAGCTAGATGGACATATACTAATTAATAACAGAGGAAAATATAACAAGGTAAATTATGGGTAATAAACATAATTTTTTCTTATTTTTTAAAAATATCTTTTACATGCATATAGATGCCTTTGTAAAACTAAAGTAGTTTTTTAAAATACCGTATTTGTTACAAAGGTCTATAGAGTTTGTTTATCCATTAGACAAAAAGATCAGCTAGGTCCCTGAAGAGCTCAGTAGTATCTAAATTCTTGCTATTAATCTCTACTAACACAGAAACCTGAATAAGGTCAGTCAATCAATCCACCCTTAGAGACAGTTACAGGCTGAACTGTGTCCTCCTGCCCCCAATATCCACACATTGAAGCCCAGGCCCTCAGCGTGTGACTGTATTTAGAGACAAGGCCTTTAAAGAGGTAATTAAGTTATTAAAATGAGGCCCTTTGGGAAGGCCCTTTCCCACCTGACTGGTGTCCTCATAAGAGGAACTCTGAACACAAAAACACCACCAGGGGTCTGAGTGCACCAAAGACCCACCACATGAAGAGGCAGCAAGAGGGTGGCCATCCGCGAGTCACGGGGAAAACCCTACAACAGACCCTTTCCTGGTGGTCCTCAAAAGAAACCAGCCCTGCCGCATTTCGCTCTTGGAGTCACGGGGAAAACCCTACAACAGACCCTTTCCTGGTGGTCCTCAAAAGAAACCAGCCCTGCCGCATCTCGCTCTTGGACTTCTGGCCGCCAGACTGTGAGGAAATACATTTCTGCTGTTTAGCCACCCACAGTGATATTTTGTTATGGCAGCCCTAGCAGACTACCTAATGTACTTGAAAAAGTAACCTAAGAAGAGAAGCAGTCCAGAGATGGAAGACGCTGATGATATCTTGCCATAATAACAGAAAGCAGCTATGTGTCACTGAAGGATGCCCAGGACCAAACCAGAGAGGGTTGGACCTGCATTACCACCATTTGTCCACCATCCAGAACTGAAATATCATTGCTGACATGACCACATAAGGAACTGTTCGACATTGAAAATGGGTCTTAAAAGAACTGTTGACCTAGAAAGAAACTCACTACAGACTGATTCATATGCCTCTCAGCATAACGATTATTGCGTGTCTCATTTTTGATCTTATAAGTATATTTCCAGTAGGACATGATCTCACTCATCTGGGGGAAATGAACAACATAGACTGATGAACAAGAACAGACCCAGAGATAAGGAGCCATGGGTCAGATTGTTGGACCTCAAAGGGAGGGTGAGGATAAAAGGGAGAGATCAACCAAAGGACTTATGTGCACACATATGAGCCTAACCAGTGGTCAAGGACAATAGGGGTGTGGGGACATGAGTGGGGAGGGTAGAGGGATTGGAATGCGGGGTTAAGGACAAATATATGATACCTTAATCAATAAAGAAATTAAAAAAAAAAAAGGCACCTAGTGTGTCTTCTAAGCACAGCAAATAAAACCCACAAAAATGTGTATAATAAAGTCCTACTCTAGATTTCTGGCCATTTTTGCCTTTAAAGTAAAATAACAACTATAAACATACACAAAGAGAAATTACATTAAGCCTTATTAACCGATGTCACCCCAGTAAATTTAATAAAGAAAAGAAATTATATGAAACAACCTACGTGGATAGGAGGAGGGGGCACGCTTTCTGGAGGGGCTGCCTCACTTACAATGGAACGTGTCTAATTGCGTTCTACTCCTGAGCTGGCACAAGAAATGGGTTTCCTTGCTTGTTTTGTATTTATTTACAGGCCACTGGCAAAGAACAAAACTACTGGAGAACCAAGAAATAAAAAGCAACATTATTAAGAACTATTGTTTTTAATCAAATACAAAATGTTTCATTCACCTACTTTTAAATTAAAAACTACACCATTTTCAATAAACAAACAAACAATTGATGATTAGGGTAAGAGAATAAAGAAGGCAGAGAGTAAAGCTCTGGTGTGGTGGTGGAGTCCAGGAGTTGGGGTTTAACATTTATGAGCTGGTTTATTGTGAAGGGAGAAGACCGAGCAGGGTAATCATTTCTGAACCAGCCCTCATGGACTCCCGAGGATTCCTGGGAAATTCTGGGAGGGTGAGGAACAGAAATAAACTGGCAGGGTTGGTGCCCTTGAGCCCAGATCTGAGCAGAGCGACTCAGTTCTATTTGTTTTCCATTTGAATGTTAGTGCTCTCACTTGAGAGAGGGTTCTGCTGCTAAAAATGTTTGAAACCATTGTATTAAAATGGTCTGTCCCCTATGGCCTAAACATTCAGAAGGAAAGCATTTAAAAATCAGTGAAAAACATAGCTGCGCAGATACACTCAAGATGCAAAATGAAGGGCCATGTGACATTTACTTGCTGGAACAACAGGCAGATACAGTGAGTGGGGACTTGGACAGGACTATAGAGACAGCAGCCTATCTATACTAATATCTACACTAATAAAAGGGTAATATGCTAATTAGACTGGATAGACTGAACATCTTTTGGATGTCCCCCGGACAAAGCTGCAGTGGCTGCGAGGACTGAGAAGGGCCAGTAGTGACAGCAGCAGCGGGTAATGGAGGCAGCGCCTTCCCCTGATCGGCCTGGTCGCCTCCCGCAGAGGAAGGCCAGAATGCAGCTTAAACTGTCAGTAGGACATCCCCTAAGGGCTACCATACTGTGAGAGGAGGCAGGCGAGGCTGAGGGACCCCACCCCCCAGAGAACAAATGTTCACGCACCGGGTCTGTAGTCTATCTATATAAAAGCCTAAGCTACTTCCCAAGCATTCAACCAGTAGCTATGATGCACAATGACCACCAGGGGGCAGACACTCAATGCACAGACATGGAAACATGGAACAGACTGATGAATCTGAGGGAAGGGGGGAGGGGGACTAAGAGATTAACCCAAGATCTTATATGCATACTACAGGCCCAGTGCACAGATTCGTGCACCAGTGGGGTCCCTTGGCCTGGCTTGTGGGGATCAGGCTGAAACTGGGTGGGGTCCCTCGGCCTGGCCTGCAGAGATCAGGCCAGTTTTACCTGTCACAAATCCATGCACTGGGCCTCTAGTATATGTATAAAAGACTCAGGATTGCCCGAACTGGTTTGACTCAGTGAATACAGCATCGGCCTGCAGACTGAAGGGTCCTGGGTTCGATTCCAGTCAAGGGCACATGCTGGGATTTTGGACTCGATCCCAGAGGGGGGCATGCATGAGGCAGCTGATCAATGATTCTCTGTCATCATTAATGTTTCTATCTATTTTTCCCTTTCACTTCCTCTCTGAAATCAATAAAAATATATTTTTAAAAAAGGACTCAGGATTGTAAGTCTATGGTAAACATTGCAAAATGAACCTGAAGTGTAACTTCATGAATCAAAAAGTAAATGAATACAGCTTAAGGCATCATTAATAAAACTATAATTTTCAAAATGAAAGCATTCAATAAAATTGCGAAAAATATTCTTAAAAAACCGGTTTGTACTACCAAAAATCAAGAGTACAGACAGCACTATTCAGCAAACTTTCGTATGAATCAGACCTGAGTTCCAGTCTTCATTCTCAAGCTTACACAACATATGTAACCTCAAAAAATGCAGCTTCCAGAACCTTCCACAGCATGAATGAGGGGATTTGGACAGTGTGTTGTGAGGGTTAGTGATGCTGTATAGATAACACCCGGCTAGTAGTGCTGGGACACTGTAGGCATCAAGAACAGGTAATGCTTACAGAGCATGGTGTGAATTCTGTCTCAGTTCACCGTCGAATAGTTAGAAAAAGGAGGATCAAAATATACAACTGCAAGTTATCATAAGAATGGGACTGAAACTGTAACGGATGAAAGAGTCAGCGATGGCAGAGCGCGGCACTAGAAGCACGCCCTTTACTTGTAGCCGGAACAGAAAAGGGCGGGACACCTGCACAGCAGTCTAGCAGTACGTGCAGAGGACATTCCAAAGTTCCTGTACAACGAACGCCCCAGGCCCTGGGAGAGGCAAGGATTCAGAATGTGGAAATGAGAGAAATGAAAGGGGTGACTGGGTAGCTTCTTTTCTTTCTTTCTTTTTTAAATTTTTTTCCCCAATTACTGATTTCCATGAGTATCCCTTTGTCACTCCAAATCAGTATATTTCCTGAGAACTCCTGAAGCAGACACTGTGGCCCACTTCACGCTCACTGCCCAGGGAGGAGATGGCTCAGTGTTTCCTCTGATGAATAAAGGAGTGTGAGACAGAAGTAACATTCCTGCAGGTTAGGAGATCCCAAATCCGATGCAACTCAGGATATTCACAGAAATGCCACCATAAAGGGAAAAATGAAAGTTACAACTATTTGCTTCTCTTAAGTTCGAAATATGCTACCCTATGACTGCATTACAACACAAGACCCCCCCTTACCCCCAGGAAAGTGTTTCTATAAAAAGTCTGATGACAAAGGACACTCACCTAAAATGAGATGAAGTTTGGTTGCTGTCTGGAAGGCATAGTGCAACGTCACCAAAAACGGCGACTGTCTGATGTGCTCCAGGACCTGTCGCTCCGTCCGCGTGTGCTCTGTGGTTTTGGCCTTTTGAACTATGGTTGCCTTTTTCAAAACCTTCATGGCATACAGCTTTCCAGCATCATGGCCACTTATTTTACGAACTAGAAATACTTTTCCATAAGCTGAAGAAGAAAAAACAACAACAACAATTAAAATGCTACACAGGCAGATTGGTAAGTTAAAGGAAGTTGAAAGTTACAATGCACTAAAAAGCACCTTTGAATGAAAAAGTATCCCTACTGCTGTTTCAAAGAGTTCTCTGACAGATTTCTTCAATTTTATACCAACCATGTTTCTAAGTCTAACCCTCAGTATTTACATATCTAACCACTGCTGACAAAGTTATGCTTTCACTGCTACTGTTATTCTCTCCTCAGTATTTTTAACTCTAGGAAACTAGCTTTATTATGGTCAATTAACCCCAATCCAATTCTGGGACAACTAGGACATTTTATACCTCAGCTAAAACCTCTAGGTTTTGCTACTGACGTGAATGAATAAAAACAGTTCTTAATGAGGATCTCCTACACACACACACACACACACACACACACACACACACACGAATCAAGTGCCTCTAGTATTGCTCTACACTCATTTTAAAAGTCTAAAGCAATATAAACTGACACTATATGAGCAAAAGAGATCTTCAGGTTAAAAGCAAACATTAAAATATCTTATATTTCAAGCAATACCGAAGAAGCCCCTCTACATCCATGGGCAGTCATTTACAGTTTACTAGGTCAACCTCACCACGTATTCCCTAAGTAAGGGCTCAGCTGGGCACATCTGAGAGGTACCACTCCTCTAGGTGAGGAAATGGAGCCCTATGGGCACTGTGCCTCTTGGGCAGAGCAGGGATCTGCATTTGTTTAGAGAAGGGGGGAGAGGGCTGGAAGAGGTGGGAGGAGGGAGGAGGAAGGGCAGGCAAAAATATCCTGAGAGGGAAGGGGTAGGTCCCCAATTCACCCCTCAAGGTATAATAAATGTTCTTCCCTTTAAAAATGTAAGCACCTCCTGGGATGGTTAGGCCCAATCCCGCTTTTGAAGTTAAACCTTTTAATGAGATCACTCTGGAGCTGGAGTTGTGAGCCATACCGGTGCTTCCCAAGCTCTGCCCACAACCCTCCAGTATCGAGCACATAATTCTGCTCCAATCCACCCACTGCGATAAGAGAGCTCTCAAGGAAGGGCTCGTGTACCTGGATGTTATTCAGTTCAGGGCTTCGGGAACTATTTAGTACAGACACGTGATCTAGAATGGATCAGTGAACGTAATACTCCTGAGAAGCAGGAAAACTATCACTTATTAAGGACTTGTCTATGCCAGGCTCTGTACAAACATATTCCATGTATAGAGCCATGTAATCCTCAGAACAGCCCATGTGCTTTCAGTAATTCCGCTTTACAGATGAGCAAATGGGTTCAAAATACTCAAGGAACTGGCCCAAAGACTTGATAAAAGAAGTGGCAGAACCCACTCAAACGCAGCAAGTGTTATGCCAGAGACCATGTTCACCATAAATGAAGAAAAAAATAATCCCTCACAAATACTAGAAATCAGATTCTCTGGATTGTAGTAAAATCAACACCATGAACACATTCTGGAATACAGAAAAAGTTCACAAAACGTTTGTGTCTCATCTCATTACAAATGAAATAATTACAGATTGAGATTTCAGTAAGTCAGAAGTGAATCAAAAAGAGAAAACACAACCCTAACAAATTAACTTCAAGTATAAAAATGGAAAAGCTCATCTGTTCTTTTGTTGAAAGAACATCCTGAGAGGGAAGGGGTAGGTCCCCAATTCATCCCTCAAGGTATAATAAATGTTCTTCCCTTTTAAAAATGTATTGAAAGGAAGGTAAAAATCTTTATAATGAAGTGTTTATCTTCCGTGGAGCAGCCACTTACAAACTCAGGAGCAAGTCTTCAACTGATATGGGGCCTCTGTGTGTCTCACATACACAGCACCCAACCTCAGTTCCAGCCCCCCAGGACTGATGCTCTCCTCTCCCTCGGTAAGACTCACTGCCACACACTGCATGCCTGTAACTAGCTCACAGTGCACTTCTGTCCCCATGCAGTTCAGTCATGCTTCATATCAGTCACTGACACTCACTGTCCTGCCTGTTTATGCCTGCTGCATACGTTATTCTTATTATAATTTAACTAAGTATTACATAACCACTGAAATGTAAATGTGAAAGAGAAAATTGAGGTTGAATACTTTGGATGAACTAGATAAAAGCAAGATAATTCAAAAGAATTGCTACAAAGTTAGGTGTGGGTCAAATAAGTATAAAAGGCATGGGGGGAAATTATGAAAATCTAAAAGAATTTTATACTCAGACTACTTTAAATGTGGCTGGTTCTCACTCTACTTTAAAGAATTGAAAACTTAACTTTAGTGGGATTTATACAAAACAAACCATCATTTAAGAATCTAGTCTTGAAGAACGGGTGTTGTGCCTACATCCAAAGACTGGCAAGCGAATTTATCCATTTTAAAACATTTTTCCATTTTACCCAACATTTCTTGATTAACCACAAGTACCAATCATGTCACATGAAAGTCTGCACTAACAAAAGGATCATTCATATTCATCACTGCTGAAATTCATCCCCCTCATCCTTCCAGATAACTTGTTAAAGGTTGACTCAGTCATCAACCATATTAGCTGTGCCTCTCAGCTTGCTTTCCCACTCAATCTGGCAAACATACCTTTTTGTGCTGTCATCTAAATTGCTGATAAAAATATAACCTTTCCTGTCCAGCAGAGTGGCTCAGTTGGTTGAGTGTTGTCCTGTGTACCGAAAGGTTGTCGGCTCAATTCCTAGTCAGGGCACACACATGGGTTGCAGGTTCAGTCCCCGGTGGGGGCATGTATGGAAGGCAACTAACTGATAGATGTTCCTCTCATGTCGATCTCTCTCTCTCTGTCAATCAATCTCTCTCTCTCTCTCTCTCTCTCTCTCTCTTCAGCATGTCCTTGGATGAGGATTAAAAATAATAATGATAATAATACTAAAATAACCCTTTCAGCTCAAAACAGTTGATTTACTATTGCTGTTAAAGAGAATCCCTAATATAACATAAACTATCTGGCTTCTACCTACCCTCTCTCCATCTACTCATCATCTCATTGAGCTAATTTCTTCAGCCATCCAGCTTCCCGACTTCCCAGACTAGTAGTACAAGTCCCCTAATTTTATGCTCTCCTAACACCATGCATTCTCTCTCACAGAAATGAACAGAAACATTAGTTTTCATATATTTGCATGATTGCTTCATTATCTAACTTCTACTGGGATGTAAATTCCACAAAATGATGTACTTAACTGATTTTACTCACTTTGTATCATTAGCAAGTAATACTGAAGCTGGCAAGTCACGGAAACTCAATGTTGAATGCATGAAAAAAACAAAAACAAAAATAAAACACATGAACAAACCAGCTCACAAAAAGGAAAAGGCCAAAGAAACAGCTCTGTAAACATAGAGCCAAATACCCTTTTCTCAGCTGACAATTTTGACACAAAGGTGAAGAAACTAGCAATGCAGATCCTCAGTACAGAGCTATTGCTAGCCAATTCTTTCCCTGTAGGGAAGGAACAATATAGTTCCTGGCAATATCTCCTGGTGAAAGTGAACTCAGGAACACTAGCTGTCCCTGTGTCAGAACAGGAAAAAAAAATAGTGACATCCACATATGGCCACTGCTTTCTCATCTGCCACAATGATGTGAGAAGGAATGAGAACGCTTGGCCACACCCCCTTCTCATGTATAATTGAACCTGGGGAAAGAGTTCTATCTTTCCACATGCGGTATGTTCTGAGCGCTGACAATCAATCCACCTGCCTCCCCTCTGTCTTCCCTCATCGAATTTCATGCACTGCAAGACATCAGTGTCAGGAATGAAACCAAATAAGAAATACATCCCCTGGAACTTTACATGTCACTTGGAAACTGGTGTCCTTATTAACAGGCCAGCTGAACATGTGAGGACAGTAATGCTAGAATAGCATATATCAAGCTCCTGTAAAACCACCACCCTCGAAAGGATTCTCCATCAAGCAGCTCATCCCAGCAATACTGCCACAAAACTGAGAGTTCAATGGTGAAACTGACCATAACCTGGAGCTTCTAAAGACTCATCTGAAACATCCCATCAATCAGACCTCAGCAGCACTGCTCTCCATCCCAGTGATTCTCTGCAAGCTACCCTGTGTACAGACAGACCAACAGGGAGCACCTTAGCGGGACAACAGGAGTAGCTAAGGAAGACTTTACTCAGAAAGACTCTAGTAAATTGAGGTTTAATCTTCTGTGTGACAATTTTTAGAGACTACATAAAATAAAATTAGTTTTTTTCCAAGAATATCTCTGGATCTTTTGTAAAAAGTGCTGTCCTCATAGTAATGTCCATGCTATGGGAGCCATTTGATAACCGCAGTGCTTGTTAAAGTCTCTGCAGACCCTTTTTTTCAAACTTTGGGCCATGACCCAACAGTGGATGATGTTATTAACTTAGTGGTTCCAACCAGCATTTTAAAAACTAAAAGAGAACAGAGTATACTAAAGGTGTTTAATGACACTCCTCTTTATATATATAGTAAAGTTTTAGTGCATAAATTTGTGCATGGGTAGGCTCCCTCAACCTGGACAATGATGGGGCCAACTGGGCCACAAGAGGTTGACCAGGGGGAAGGGGCCATGGGATGTTGGCTGTGTGAGTGCAATGACCACCAGAGGGCAGCTCCTGCTTTGAGCATCTCCCCCTGGTGGTCAGGGTGCATCATAGCAAACAGTCGTTCAATCTATTGGTCGCTTAGGCTTTTATATATATATATATATATATATACACACACACACACACACACACACACACACACGTATATATGCAAATGTATATATGCAAATGTATATATGCAAATGTATATACATGCAAATGTACATATATGCAAATGCATATGTACATATGAACATGAACAAATGTGAATGCATGGGAAGAAAGAAAAAGAGGGCAATATAGAATAATGACTAAAAATAGACTGGTGCCAGACTGCCTGGTTTGAAGCCTAGATGTGCTATTTAGAAATTGTGTGACCTTGAGCAA